CGACGATGACTTCACGTCACGCTAGCTATTGCGCACAATTGCCTTCCCGACTCGGAAGAGCCACTGGCGCATGCGAGAGCATGGCGAGGAAACGAGTTCTAATCCCCCCCCCCCGAGAGCAGGCAAAGGAGCAACTGGTGTTGATTACAAAAACATATTCTTTACTGAGAACATCAAACGCGCCAGCCATAAGATAATAAAAACGGGCCGGTGGACGATGGCTCCACCCTAGACCATAGGTGGTGGGGGTGGAATTGACGCCATTGTTGAAGTCAGGGGCGGCGGAGGCGGTGGTGGCAGGGTCATGCCAGTACCCGCAACCGAAGGCGGTTGCCACGTTGGCGGAGGTGCCACGCCGCCAGCGGTGGTGACCACAGTCATGCCGAAGAGCGGGGCCGCTGGGGGTGGAGGTGGCGGCGGCGGTGGTGGACGGAAAGAGGCTGCTGCGGCAGCGGCTGCCGCGGCCGCATTCAGTGTCGTGCTGAGGAGCGGCGGTGGCGGTGGTGGAGGGGGCGGCGGCATCGCGCCAAAACCGCCCGCAGCAGTTGCAAGGGAGAGGTGTGTGTGACCCAGAGTAGGCAGCGGGGGTGGTGGAGGTGGCGGCAAGATCATGGAGCTGGAAAGCGGTGGGATTGTGGAGAAGGCGGCAGGATGATGCGAAGCGAAGCTTGCCAACAAGCCAGGAGGCGGTGGTGGCGGGGGCGGAGCGTCCGCAAACAGCTGATGTGGTCTGTCCGCCTGGGGAAAGGAAATAAGAAGGAAATAGTATGGACTAAGAGAACAGTGTTCACGGGTCTGGGACGGAGACGTTGGTGTGGCCCACTATCGGAAACCCCCTTGAAGTCTATGTAGACTACGTGCACCACATTTCCTTAATCAATCGCCCGGCCCAGCGTTCCAGACAGCAGAGTAAACTGATCAAGTAGGACCTTCCTCTGCAGAATCCATGCTGCGCGTCAGAGATGATGTTGCTCTAGAAACTGTATAAGTTCGTGTTTGATAATTCGCACCATAACTTTGCAACGTATGGAGGTGAGGCTCACCGGTTAGTAGCCGCTTGCGGAAGCGTGACCGTTGATTTTATATATCGGTGAAATCCACGCAGTCATCCAATCAGGTGGCAATCTGCCTGCATCGAGGGAGGCTTGGGAGAGAAGATATAGAGGTTCTGCCAATTCTATGGCTAACTCCCTCAACGACTTTGTTGGTACTTTATCAGGATCCGACGAAGTCGCTTCTTTCAGCTTCAGTAGTTCTCGTTGAACCACTAAGTCAATTTTCGGGACCTCATCCACACTACATTAGCGGTTAAATTGGATTCTGTCATAAAAACCGATCCAAAGAAAGATGTTCAGCCTTTTTGTCGTCCTTGCAAAGTTCAACGCCATCATCCGTTTTTAACGTAAGGATGGAATCCCTATTGCGAATGCAAACGGCTGATCTATGGAAAGGCCACAAATCAGAGCGGCATTACGTGACGAACGTTGTTGTTCCCGTCACCAGACTGGGGTCCATGTGTCGTCTGACACAATCATAGACCCCTAAATGGGTGTGTAAGGAGGACGGATGGAGACGTGGACAACCGAGACCAGAAACTATAGGAATGCATCCCCTGCACCAAGTCATGCCACGCAATTGATGCCCGACTAGCCCGGAGCTTAAGGGGGTCTTTGGACGACCGGAGGTCTGCGGTGCGTGTGCCGAAGTTTAAGCTGTGGAAGGGCAGTAGCGCAAAGGAAAGATGACAGGCCTAATGAGGATGCAAGACTAGGAGACAAGGCGTTCTTCCAAAGTTAACGGTGCTCCGGCAACGGTCTGGGGATGCACAAAAATACTGGGCGACCTAGAAGCAAAAACCAAACTGCAAGTGTTTTCCTTTTTGTGCCAGTGATGTTTAGCACACACGTGCAGAAGAAATCAGACTTCAATTTTGTCGTTAACCTGTCCCTGAACAATGGAGTTGGCCCAAAAATCCACTTTACGAATGAGTCACATTAACTACTGGACCACGGTAAAGGGATCACTAAAACAGTACCTGTGAAAGCGGACTCTGCGCAGCGAGCAGGCGCTCTGCGGCTGAACCGTGGCGTTCACCCTTACTGTCCTTCTTGAAGGCATAGGAGATAGTGATAGCCCGATTACAGAGGTACTGTCCGTTCATGGCCTCAATGGCTGCGTCACTGGCCTCGAAACTGGCGAAGTTTATAAAGGCGTAGCCCTTGGAGTTGCCGGTCTCTGGATCGCGCATAATTTTCGGCGTCTGTAGGATGACACCAAACGCGCTAAATGTGTCGTACAGCAACTTCTCATCCACTTCAGGGTCCAGGTTGCCGATGAAGATGTTGGCTCCAATGTCCAAGTTCTTTTGGTTGGCTGAGGCCTTGTTCACGCGGATGGGCTTGTTGTACAGCTTTATCATGTTCATTATCCGCATGGCGTAATCTGCATCCTCCTCTGTGAGAAATTCAACGAAACCATAGCTGGAAAGTGGAATGTGGGGATGGGGTGAGTCTAGTGGTCAATTAAACAAGAACTCAGCATTTTGACAGGCAGCCTCATGTAGGAAAACAGCTGACTGCCCAGATAAGGAAATAAAGCAAAAAGAATAACTCAGAACGACTACTAGCCAACTGCCACTACTTAGCAGACAAATATTTGTCAACTTGGAAATGAGCTTATTCGCCCCAACAACCAAAGGTGACTGAAAGAACATGGTCCGACCGTACTATTCACCTGTGCCCTCTCTCGCCTCCGGTCTTCTTGACTACGTCTTGACACAGGGCCCAGGTGGAGAGGAGAGAGCGCGGTAGATGCTGCGAAAGTCTGCTTTTACTGTAAACTAATTCTCGAGTACATCATCGTGGCCGTCCCACTTTGCCGTGGAGCACACGGTCGAACTGTCACGCAACGCCCTTGTGAGAACGACGGGACAGTCAACATCTTTGGAGACCGTGATCAGTAATGGTCAAATATGCGCGAACGGACTTATAATTTGGTACTTGTGATGGCATTCATGATGTCTGGTTGAGCCACTTTCATGTTGCGCATCTACAGTAGTTACAAAATACGTGAAATTATGTCCGAGTAACAAACAGTCACCAAACAGGCAGGCTAAACTTCCAACTAGTCTCTTCTTGATTGTCGGCTAAGATAGTTTGACCATGTGCTACGTCGACCCAAAGGCAAAAGTGTCACTTCGAACTATCCTGATTCTGACCACTGACAGGATGGAAACAACCCACTGGTGACGAGGGTGAACGTGAAGGCTGACCCCGAGGGTATCTCTGTGCATGCGAAATTGGCGCGCAAAGTGGCTCAACCACGCTTGGAAGTCTGCGACAGCGGAAAATGATAATTCGCAATGCGGTGAACGAGCAACGTGCAGCTGAATGAATCAGGTATCATGAATTAGAACTACAGTTGTGCTGTTTAGGGCATGTGGTCAGGCGATGGAAGTCCCGAAAGTTTAGACAGCAGTGGAAGCGAGCCAGTCTACGCACACGGATGCTTCCACCATGGATAGAGGTCTTCAATTATGCTGTCCGAGGACTAAAATCTCTTGTATCTACTCCTGTCTAGGTCAACTGTTTCGACCGGGGACGTCGCAGACGCCGATGGCGTTTGCAATATTCCATAAAGCAGTCGAAGACAGACGGAAGACCGTGGCAAGATTCTTGGGATAGACAACATCGCATTTTTTCTCAGGTCATGCCTTCTTGACATGTGGTCCAAACAACAGCGGAACCTTTACATGAATGCGGTTAGAGCCATGTCGACTCTCATCGTAGGTACTACGAATTGCAGTGTGCTCGGAGAAACGCGTAGTAAATTTGGTCAGATGACTTGATGTCATCAAAGCTACCGGAAACATATATGCTATGTACAGTGAAATTACCAGACCGCTGACTATTAGGGCAACGGGTTCCCACTGGGTGGCGGTTAGAAGTTCGTAGGTCCACCGTACATTCCCCCCACTCTGACAATCCAAGCTCCGGGCAGCTAATAGACGAAGAGTGGCCATTCCAGTCTGCCCCCTTCCGCATTATTGGTGGTCACTGTCTGACTGCTTGCAAGGACGAGCGGGGAAAGCCCGATCAGGCAACGCCCATACTAAGATACTTTAATATCCATACAGCCACCATGTGGTGCAAGTACAATAGTGGAACGGAGGCTTAAATAAGTCAGTGATGGCAAAAATGGTTTCAAGGAATAAAAGTTTTGCTTGTTTGCGGTAGAAGAAATTGCTTATTTGTAGAGTAAGTGCATAAGAAGGCAAAAATGAAGGACGTAGATATTCCTCAGCGAAATATCCCAGTAATGTACTTTAAAAAGACGACTTATAAGTGAGGGTTTTTCACTTGATCAGAGGCATGTTTTTCGCCGGCTTTTGTAATAGACATCCATCTGCTTCGATGATTGTGATTAGCGTCTAGATCGGTCCACAGATATGACGCAAGACATCATTTGAATAAAAAAGGACGCGTAAACACTCACAGTCTGACTAAAAGCCCTTAAGACTTCCACTATTTTGGAGATTGTAATTTAAAAAAAACTACGGAACCTATCTTTTTAGACATTTTATAGAGGATAATGAGGACCGCCAAGTATTCACCGACCTTTCAGTGGATTGCACCGTCACCAGAAAGCATATGACTAGATCTGTCAATTATAACAGGGCCCCTTAATCACTGGCCGATTTTACAACATCTGGCCTTACAAAGACTTTTATGCCTGGAACGTCCCTATCCTCGAACTCAAACAAAATACTCTCCGCGTTAGTCAACCACCCCTCAGACAATAAGAACAAAAACTAGATCGGATTCTGGCGGAGGTATGCTGAAAGGCATTGCCTAACTACACGTAGTTGACTAGCCGCCATACTGAACATTACGCAACCATTTAGATGATACTTCCCGAAAATTAGCTATAAGGCTTTTTCAGACACTGTTGTAGTTATGCTGTTTTATTTACTCAGCTCTCAGCATTGACAATCATTGTGTTACTCATGCGGCACGCATTTTTTCATCTTCGGCATTTCAGCTTTTTAAAAGAAAATTGTTAGTTCAGATTAAAAACACATTATCTTCAACACTTCTTTTACATTTCCACTTGACAGAAAGTGATTCATTCTCGATTGAACGTTTCGGCCGATGCATTTGGACCCATTTCTGACTGATTACACCTCTCGCGAAGTTACGCTTATTTCAAGGGCTCTTAGACGCACCGAGTAGTCAAAATCTACGTCAGCAAGGGCAGGTCTGAAGCGGCAACTCCACCAATAAACGCATGATCATAGATACTACAGCAGCCTGGCAATTGTGGCTGATAGGAGCTGGCGGCGAAGAATAAGCGAGAATTCAAAGTAGGAGACGATTCAAGCAGTCACTCGTCGACTTTAGACAGATTAACTAGGAAGTACTATTGACAAAGATTAGACCGACACAGGGACGGTTTATTAGTCATAACTAGTCGCTGATGGCTCAACCTCAGGCGCTGGCACACATGAGGTTTGAATTCTCACTCGTGGGTCATGGAGCATTTAATTTCGAGGACGCTACCAGCTACTAAGGGTCCCTTTTCCAGCCGCGTAACAGATGCCTGTCCTTCGGCAAAATTAGGAGCTACCCAATACATTTCTTTAGCAGAGTCATAAAGGTGAACTCTTAGTCTTTGTCTCTCTAAATTCACAGTCGTTCGCCTGAGACACATTACCATGCATAATTGTGCTACAGGCATGAACGTTTAGGGTTTCTTACAAGCTTTAAGAGGCAGAGGTTAAACAGTGTGCGAAAATTTCGAACAAAAATGCTAATATAAAAGGTTCTTTTAGGTTGAAATGTACATTGCAACCCGGCAGTTTAAGGGTTCGCGCAACAAGCGAAAGACTTTAGATGAAACCATGACATAAACTGACTGTGCTTGCAACCCCCGGGCATACCACCTCACAACCGTTGGTCGGTGGTAAATGCAAAAATGGAGTACTGGTAGCGAAATGAGGACTTAGTACAACGCAACACAAACCTGAGTGGGTTGCTTAGGCGGACCAAATTCACTTTTAGCGCGAACCCAGGACGGTGTCAGAGAAGATGCCACTGCCCCTTCTCCTCATAACTGCTGATACCCTGCCCTACAATGGACGCTCGCACAGGCCTTCTTGGTATCTCTCGTTCTACGTCAGCACTTTCCATAACCATCCCCTGCAGTTACCCACAGCCTTGCACTCCCCACTGGCGGCCTGGCAGGCATGGCGGAGCGCTTCCCACTCCAGATGGCCAACTGTATGTGTAACACTTTCTAGTATTATTATATCCTTCTAACGCGTTGACTAGTCTATTACTAGTAATATATTTATTGCACACGTTTGTCACGGTTTTTATGCTATACGTACGCGTGTATTCGCATGGTGCTCGCCGACTCTATTCAGTACTTCCGTAGCGCTACTTGATCACTTGAGTCGTCTTCGACGTGACCATGGTTGGGGCGAAATAAATTGTGATGGCCGTCTAAAATCCATCCAAGGCATCCACACATCTCAAGAACAATTGGAGGTTGCTGGCATCGACAAGGCGTAAGCTCATGCGGACAGGTGTCACCACTTGCCAATTACAAAAGCCTTTGTTCAACAAACCTATACCGAGGGATCAGCTATGTGAGCGATAAAAAGCTTCTATAATTCACTTAGTGATGTAAGAGCCGGCAAAACTAAAACAAACGTTGACGACAATGGACGTACCGCTACGGGGACAGCAACGCCAGTAAAAATGTTGACTGGATACATAAGAAAACTCAGAAATTAACCGTGCTAGAATGAAAATAGTACTCGCATTTTCGAAATCGAAAGCACGCGAAGACAAACTACTACTGAGAAAGGAAACAGGAAACAAAAGCGTACCCTTGATGTTGCATGGTAATGCGATCCTTCGGCATGTGGACATTAACAACAGGTCCTGCTTGGAGAAAGAGTTCCCATAGTATGGCTTCTGTACACTTTTCATCTAGCCCGCCAACATAAATCGTGGCATCCTGGTTCCTCTCTTCGACAGGCCCGGTGGTCATATTGCAGGCTCACAAGTGCCCACTTTCTTTTCGCGCCTCTATTTTAGCCTAGTAAAAGTCCACAAATTGTCATTTTCGACCGTTGCCTGAACATTTGACTTTATTTATTTATTTCGAGACATTCGCAGTCCTTCAATTTTACCATTTTGACTGGAGTAGCTGATCATGCTATACTTCGTAGTTAAACCTCATAAGAAGGAAGGGGAATTGTCCATACGGGATTAATTTAGCAATCATGATTCGAAAATGGCAAGGGATAAACAGAGAAACTGGTTGCAGACAGGATAAAACTAAGGAATTAGCCATGTCATTTAGTTGTTTTGCTTAGCACAGGGTGAAGTCAATGTGTCTCTCATGGAAAAATATTTTTCTGACGATAAATTGGTTTAAAAAATCATATGTTCTGTCACAAGTCATCCAAAAAACACAAACTCATCTACAGTCTGTGCGCTCGAAGAAAAAGGAAGCGAAAACGTACAAAGTAAATAAGCGAGACTGATGACCTGTTATGCTAAGATAATGAACTGAAGGCTATTTTACGGATTCCAGACATTTTGCCGTCGCATAATTAAGCAAAGTATTTATATGCGAGTGGGCTGCTAAGTTATTTTGATGAAGATACTGACCAGACATGAGATCGCAGGTTAGGTTTCTCGCAGTGATAAGCGTCTTTTTTGAACGACGCATATTTAGGAACGAGACGAATGTAAGTAATTTTCTAGCGGGCAGGAAATTAAAATAGCTTTTCGGTTTATTTTGTGAGGGCAATGGGCAAATCCATCGAAAATTCTATATGTACACGTCGGTAAGCCTGTACCTGAATCGGCCGTGATCATGCATTATCTAAATGACCTCTCCACGTGCGACAAACCCCGACTCTGACAGTCCGATCAGCGACGGAGACCGTTCCATGTCTTGAGTCGTGTTGAACCGGGCCTCTAACTGACCTCCTCTTCGATGCTTCCACATAGACAACGCCTCTGGATCGAGGGCAGTGCAAGTGCACTCGTGAGGCGGACGACGAAAAAGTGCTCAAAACACTTCCGTCGTCTTCCTTTGGTGTCCTGAGATATCCTCGTGACTTTGTCGCAGCGCACACGGACAGTCTCGTTTGAGACGAATTCGATATACTCCACTCGAAGAATGCTCCTCTGGGATTGGTGGCCAATTTCTTGCAGCCTTCGCTCATCTTCCACGCGCAAGGCCAAAAATGAACAGTCGCAGAAAACGGCGGTCCGGACGGATGCATGGTATACGCGAATCCTGGTAGCAATGGAGACGTTACGTCAAATTCGAAAGCACTCCCTTAGGGTAAAGAACGCCCTGCGAGCGGCATCGATTCGGAAGGCAATGTCGTCCTTACTCTATCCACTGGACAGCAGCCCCATCCGAGGTATTTGAAACTGTTTGCTTCCTCAGGTTGACAACCAGTAACCCCGAGGAGTGCCTTCTCCTGGTCAGGTAAGCAGCTCAAAAACAATTTTGTGTTTATGGATAAACCGACTGAAGTAGCGACTCCATTCATCCGTGGCACGACATATTGCAGGCCACCAAAGCTCGAGCTTAGTAAAGCGAAATTGTCATTGTAGTCTAGACCAGTCAGCCGCTGTCCAACTGCGAACCCCACACTGGGAGACTACTTCGTAAGCGGATGCCTGAGAATGCAGTAGCGGTGAGGAAAAACGACGCTAGCTTTCAGGTGCCGACTCATTCCACGTAAGGGGATCATGTTTTCAAGCTTCAATAGGCTGAAATCCTTGCAAGATCTAACGACCGCGTGAACCGCGAGCCGCTAAAATCATACCTCTGTGGCCCGCAACCCATCAACAAGCGCAATGACCTCCCGGTTCCATATTCAATGCTGAGACATTCCCTGAGCAGGGAATCAGTCACGTGGGTAGGGGGCGGGCAGGCAACAATCCCGGTGGCAGCGGGCCAGACTGTCGAGTAATAATCACGTCAACATCCAAGATGCATGTTGAAATTGCAGCAATCACCGATTCGGGCGCTGACTGTTGAGCCGGCTCGGCGCATCGCGGCGGGCACGAAGGGGAGATGAAAGGGAGTCGAGACGTCAAAGTATGGTACCAATACCAGTGGTCAAAGGAACGTCTCTGAGTTGGAGACCACTAGCGGTTTCGTCGCCAGGATAAGCGACTCGCTGTTGCTCAGCCGCCAAGGCCGATCCCGAGTGAGAGTTGGAGGGAAGATTGTGAGGGCCTGGACAGCATATCATCCACCTCATTCTTCGTGCCATCAATTAAGTGGATGTCGGGGGTGAACTAAAAGATGTAGTCCAGGTGGGCAATCTCTCTGGGACTGTACTTGTCGGATAGGGAATGAAGAACACAAGTCAGTGGCTTGTGGTCTGTGAAATAAGCGAAGTCTCGACCTTCAAGGAGATGCCGGAAATGCATCACAGTCAGGTAAATGGTAAGTTGTTCACGGCCAAAGGTACTGTAGAGGATCTCCGCCGGCAAGAGCTTTTTTGGAGAAGAAGGCCAGTGTTTGAGTCGAACCGGCAAGGTGTTGTTGAGGGACTGCACCTATGGTTACGGTCAAAGCATCTACCAGTAAGGACAGCTGCGCTTCGGGAGCGGGATTGGGGAGCAAGTTGGCGTGGCAAGGGAATTCTTGATTCTTCCAAAAGCAGTCAGTGCTTCACCGGTAAGCTCTAGAGGGCTTTTGAGACCTCTGATGATGGATTTGAGTGAGAATCCGAAACGTCAGGCCAATAAATTTCTTGTTCCAGTGATCGCATCTTCGTCTTCTGACCAGAAAGCACGTTGGAGAACGGCAGCATGAGGTCAGCACAGTTAATAATAATAATAATAATAATAATTTTTATTCAAGACCCGTGAGGGTCCTATCATAGAAAGTAGGAATAGTTTTTACATTAATTTTAGAATTTTAGACGAGGTATACAGAGTTATTAGAGTACTTAATTCATAGTTTTCAAATAAGTAGCACGTTACGAAGAATGTTGACCGAGCAGTAAAAAAAACTCCTAACATAAACGAAATGAGTAAAATTGGATAAAAGCTATAGGAGGAAAAACTCTCGCTCCTTAGTTTATAAAAATCAGGCAGGACTACACTGTATATGGCATTCTATGACGGATTTCATGGAGGGGTAAGTAGGCAGGTCAGGCAGGACTGGCCTATATGTAGACTTGAACAGAAGGCTCGAGTCGGGAATCATCATGGGAGAATTCATATGCCGGATGAGGCCATTCATGCCAAAATGGCGAATTGGAAACCAGTTTCGACGCGGTAGGAACCCAGATGCGATCAGTTACATTCAGCCAAATCCAGCCGAGGAGGGGGCAAGGGAGATGCGACCAGACTACTAGTGTATGGCAAATACAGAAGGTTCCGCCAAGAGCGTCGATATATTGCCTTCTGTGAGGGCTCGATGGATGGACTGAAAAACCGAAAAATTAACATTTTTGTTTAGGGATCCTAGGAAACGATACGACTCACAAAAGCAGGAAATGTAAGCAGATACGGAAATTTAATGGTGGCATACTAAATACCTGGTGGCCCTTTCTCAGTGTCATTGAGAAAGTTGTTTGAGAAGGATGCGGAAAATAAAAGTTTAATCGAGTCAGTATTCAGATAAAGGCGTAGCCGTCTCCTAAATGTGTGTAGATTATCTGAAGATCTTATATTTATTGGGAGGCTATTCCAGAGGAAAGTATATCTGGAAGCGAAAAATAGAGAACGCTTAGAGGTGGAGGAAGTTGGAGGAGGTATAACTAAGGAAGAGTTACGAAGATTGTGTGGGCGACTACTAGGGGTAAGTGCCGACGGTAAAAGTTGACTATGTCAAGGAATCGCTGCAGATGACACTTGGAGGTTGGTGGAGGTAAATCACGAATTGCTTCAAGCTTGGACGGGAGGGGACGCAATCTCTCACAGTCGACATGATGGTCGAGGAATTCGAGCGAAAGCACAACCCAACCACACTTGGAGGGGTTTATGAAAACGCCAAACTTGTCGGAGCGGTCAAACACTAAAGTAGGGTGCTCCTTGTGTTCTTTTGCACTCCAGATGGCCACCAAGATGATATCAGTATGGGCGTACAAAAACGGTAGGTCACGTAAAACATAGTCAATGAGCCTCTGGAACGTTTGCGCGGCATTAAGAAGACCGAAGGAAATGCGAATGAATTCGAAGAGACCGAAAGGTGTAGTGACGGCAGTCTTGGGGATGCCCTCAGGGACCACGGGAATCTGATGAAAGGCACGCAACAGGTCAATCTTCAAAGAAATCGTTCTGTCGAAAAGGGCACGGGTCGGGATAGAAAAGGGATTTAATCAGTGAACAGACAGACCTGTTGTGCGATCAAAGAGACGGGAATATGGACAGCCAACAAGAAGATCGAATTCTGTAAGAAGATCCGAGCCAAGGATTGCATGAGGGACATCAGCAATCACAAAGATCCAAGAGAACTAGCGACGTAGGCCAATGTCTAAGGTGTGGGACAGGTTCCCAAGAATGAGAATGGGGAGCAGTTGGCAGCTTGGTGATGAAGGACAGAACTAAAATACGACCGCCGGATAGAATGGGATGGGCGACATTTATTTGAACAGCGGGGTACACTAGAAAACGTCTACGTGTCGCACTGTCGCAAACACAGAAGGTGCGATCAGAATCAGAAGAGCAAGAGAACACGGTCGCGCCTATTCTCTGGCTGACTGGTTTCCCTGGTTAGACATGAACGAGCAGAGGGAGGAACATCGACGAGCCTTCGCACCGAAATTGGTATGATGCCAACAAATATTGGCTGTTTGAGTTCGCGAACGGGAACGACGATGATGAACGACCAGAGGTAAGGCGTCCATGCTGGAGTTTTAGATACACCATGAGCGTCGCAGTTTGCTCACTTGACGTTGGCAACGAGGAAATGGAGAGCTGGACAACAGACGGCTGTTTGAACCGCTGCACTACCAACATCCTGTCCGCCGTCTTGGCTAGCCGTGAGACAGAGAGATCTTG